ACTCAGAATGATAAATATCTAGGAGGGACTCAGAAGCCTCACAGTTATTCTGTAAAACTTGAAAGTCATAAAGTCATATGCTGTGTGTGTGTTTTAAGTACATAAACACAGAAGCAGTTATTAAAATACTAAGGAGAAAAATATTCTTAAACTGATGAGCACATCATAAGTAATAAAGGTATTTCAGTGTTATCCTTTTTAAAATGTCTATGAAGATTGGGGGTCATTAGCTTGCGGAGCCCCGAGGTCCTTAATGTTTTTATTGATGACTGTATAAATCACTTCCCTCTTTAAGTATTGGACTAATGGCTGATGTTGTTAACATGCTTATCTTGAAAAAACATAATTTTCTAAATTTTTCACCTCCTGTAGTAGTGAATTAGGTCAGTTCATAGTAAAATATGAGGAAAAGCAAACTAAGTAAGTTTAAAGTATAAAAATAGAAAAAAGACGTTAGATGAGTACAGATTAAGTCTCTGCAGTTATTCTCTGAAATTCGTTGTTTTCAAAGTGGACATTTAAGATATGGATAGACAAGCACATTAAAGATTACAGTCAAATCTAAATTATGTTCTCATACACACTTGATTGCTTCCCAAACCATCCATTGCTTATATATAAAATTATTTTTTCCTAATTATGAGACCAATTGGAAACATTTTGGAAACAACTAAAAAGTATAAAGAAAAAAAGTTATCCTCAGTGTTAAGACCTAGAGATAAATTTAACATTTTAGTGCGTTAGATGTCATTTTGAATATTCCTTCTTGTTTTATGTAACATAGCAGACATTATGCACATGATTAATATTTATTTGAAATTGCTTATTAGTGACCGTGTAATATGACAGAGATGTACCACAGCTTGCAAAGTCATTGCCACATTAACCACTTACATCGCTTCCAGTTTTTAAAAACAGATAAATTCTGAGATTGGGGTCCTTGTGCATATAACCTTTGGATCCACGTCCATTCCCTTAGGGCTGGTTCTTAGCATTAGATTTATTGGATCAAGGGTTATAAGTGATGTTAAGAAATATACACATTGCTGAAAGGCTTTCTAGAAACGTTGCTTCAATTGAAGCCAGAACATTCCCATTTCACCCGTGCTGTTACACCTGGTCCAGCATGATGGTTATCAGACCCGATCAGCCAGGCCTTCCAGGAAGGGGAAGGAACAGACACTGAGCCCTGGTCTGAGCTCGGTCTCGTTTCATCCTCATGCCAACCCCATATCATCGCGTTTCACAGGTGAGGAGACACACTCAGAGAGGACGAGTGAATTCCAGCGGTCACACACCCAGAACTCCAGGGGAGTGGTTGCTCATTCAAGTTCAGGCTGTCTGATCTCAAAGTTCATTTTCTTTCTCAACTCCCAAGGGTTTCCTCTCTGTAATATTTATATTCATCATTGGCAGTCCAGAGAATAAGTCCGAATTTTAATTTCTAAACTAAGCATGCAAGTCTCTCAGAGCATTTAGTGCTTTAGTGGGCATGTACTGAACACCATTTCTGAGGCTGTCTAGTACCTCACACACAGTCAGTGCCCAGTGCAGGTCAGTTTCCTGCTTCCAGCTTTATGGTCCTCTCAGGTCACATCAGGTAAGCTGCCACCTACATCCCAAACTATTGTGTAAGCATTCCCACCTGTTCATTGTACTCTTTCCTACGTAGGGACCTTTTTGCAAAAGTGGAAAATACTGTTTCTTTCAAATTCTACACAATGACTCTGAAGAGAAAAAAATTAGAACTTTAAAGCATCACGGATAAATCATGGTTTTAATGTTACAAGGAGAGATTTCTTAGTTTATTAGTAAATGTATCTGTGTCTTATTACCTAATTCCAAGGGGAACCTCTTGGAATCACTGAGGGGAAAAAACAACTTCTGATTTTTGGTTGGTTTCTGTTGCAGGTGTGTGAATATCCTGATGGAACCAAGTCTTTGAAACTGGGAGACTTTGGGCTGGCCACTGTGGTGGAAGGGCCTTTATACACAGTGTGCGGCACACCAACTTACGTGGCTCCCGAAATCATTGCTGAAACCGGGTAAGACTCCCCGTGGTTTTGGTTAGTGCCTTAACTCTGGTGGGGAAAGGTGTATTCTGCTCCTCCTGCTGTGTATTCAGATGCCTCCTGGGACGATGGAGGGCAGGAGAGACCGTTCTCTGCATTGTGACTTTGGTCTCAGGAACTTAGTTTGTGCTTCTACCTTCAAGGGTGCTGGTCTTGGGACTGTGGCGGTAGCCCCGAAGATTGTGGTGAGATTGGGAGAAAAGTAGATGCCTTTGTCCAAAGGCAATTAATTCCTCTACACGGAATGAGCAATTTGACACTGAAAAGACCCTTTTTCTTCACTAAGGCAAGTGGCGGGTTCTGGGAGTAATAGCGTCTTTCTCCCCTTTCGCTTGCTGTTTCTCTAGCTATGGCCTGAAGGTGGACGTGTGGGCAGCAGGCGTGATTACGTACATACTTCTCTGTGGATTCCCACCGTTCCGAAGGTCAGTGGCTCTTTGAATGACAATATTTGAATTGTAAACTCTCTCCCTTTAATCTGGAAGCAGACATTTTACTTCTGGCAAGTCAGGACTAGAAACGGGTTAATAAAAATAACAGTTAAAAATTATATAAACATGCCTTTCACTTTTTATCTTAATTTACGACCTATTAATGTATATTCCTTGAGCACACTTCTGACATGAGGCCAAGGCCTTTGCTTGGTGTCGGGCCCTCTGAGCTTCTTAAGGTCGTTCTGTAACGCACACCCATTGTCCAGTGTCTACAGTTGCCATTCTCACTCTTTTTCAAAGGGAGTGAAATTTAAAGATCCTGTGAAGGAATCTGATCCTTCTAGATAAACCTTTTCCTAATTTTTAATAGCTGTCTCTTAATTTTTTAACAACTCACTTTCCAAAGCATTCAACTTAGTTCTCATAGAAATAAGAAACTCTCTGACTATATTTTATCTGTTCACATATTATTTAATAAAGTAGAATTCCAAGTACTTTCAGCACAGATAGGCCTGGGAACGAAACGGTTGACTCTTGGTGACCATGTACCTCACCTAGCGGGAGCAGAGGTGGCCACACGGGGTCGGGTGTGTCACGGAGGGCACTCAGCACACTTGTTACCTGAGTGTTGGTTGCACACGGGCTGAGTGAGGGGCTTCGGCCTCGGTGCCTTTTTTGATCAGTCCCATCTCCTTGTTTGAAGCAAATGAATGATTTGGAGCAGAAGTAGACGTTCATCTAATTTGATGATTTTCTTCTGAGTTTTCTTGAGCTCTCTCTTCATTTTAATCTCTTCTTTTGTTCACTTTACAACTATTTGTCGAGCAGCTACTGTGTGCCAGGCACTGAGTGCTGGGAATCAAATGCTCAAACATATTCTCTGAGGTTATGGTATTTATAGTGCCGTATTCCATCAGTAAGTGAGAAATATGTTCATTTCACTCCTCTCCCAATGTTTTATTATGAAAGCTTTCAAATGTACAGAAAAGTTGAAAGTTTTATCTTTTAAAAACGATCAGTGTTCGGTTGAGTTGCATATTTTTACTGACTTTACAGTAAACATAAGACATTTAGTAAACATAAAATGTCATTTTCTCTAATTTTGAGAGTCTCAGGGTGTAAAGACATCACAAGAATATTGATCAAGAAAAATAAACTGAGCATGAGCGCTCAGCTGAGGGCTGGAAATCACAAACATTTAATGAGAGAAATAGTGAGTGAGACCTTGTCCTCGTGGCATGGGTTGGGTTTCTACAAGTGGAAAGCTCTTTCTGTCTGGCCGTCAGTATCTGGCTATTCCATCAAGGTCATTGCCTGCGGTAGTGGGTTTCTACAAGTGGAAAGCTCTTTCTGTCTGGCTATTCCATCAAGGTCGTTACCTGCGGTAAGGTGCACAGTTTGTAAGATTACTGCACATGGCAGTTAGCATTTCTTAAATAACAAATGACCCCAAAAGTTAGGGCTGTCAGTTAGTTCCGTAGATCAGTTGGGCAGGTCTTCTGGTCTGGGCTGGCTCAGTGAAGGTTTGATGGCCCAGTGTACGTCACTCACATGCCCGATAGTTGGCTCATTGTCAACTGGGACAATAGATATGACTCAGCCATGTGCCTTTCAGCTTCCAGTGGGCTAACTTGGGTTTCACGTGATAGAGGATACAGGATTTTAAAAAGCAGCTGGAGAGAGGGCCACTTCCTCTGCTTGAACGTTTTCCAAATCTCTGTTTGCCTCACCTTTGTTGATTGACGTCCCATTGACCAAATGAAGTCAAATAGGGTAAACGTGGGAGAAGATGAGGTGTGTACATAGCAGAAGGAGAATGATTTGTGGTCAGTTTCTTAGTCACGCTGTTCCCTGGCTGGTTTCAGTAATGACCTGTTTTGGGGACTGGTCAATCACAGAGGGTAGTGTATTTTGATAGCTGGCGATCTTGGGGCCAGTTACGACATAGTTCGCCTCCATGGTTAACCCAAGTTGAGACCAGGGACCAATTTTCGAGGAATGTGTGCTCACAACTCCCTCTAGTGTTTCCACTTGCCAGTGCAGCTTGTGAGTTTTTTCTTTGACTTCGCTTTTTACTTTTTAGCAGAAGTGAGACTCAGATGGAACAGATATGTAGTTATCATGACTTGTTACCCAGTGGACAGCAGCTTCTTTGTGGGAACTGGAGATAAGTGTAGCTAATCAAAAGCAGTAAAGCTACATTCTGAAATGTGCTGCCTTTATATGTCATATTCAGAAGCTGGTCCTACAACTCCAGGTAGCTTACTTGACTGAAATTTATGAAAATGCTTTCTTTCCTCTTTCACATGTTGTGGCGAAATACAATCTGGAATGTTAAATACTAGTTACAGAGGCATCTTTACGACAAAGACATTATGGAGAGATTCCAGAACCTACTATAACAAAAAGTATAACAAATTATGGAAATGGGACCTTAAATAATGATAAAGGTGTCTAAATAATGATAAATGTAAAGTAGGATTACATCTCTATAAATTTGTACCTAAAATGAAAATCCTTTGAACAGATATTTCAAAACATTTTCTTTGTTTTATACAAAAGATGATTTTAGCCCAAAGCTTTTTAATTAAAATTGTTACTTGGAGTTTACAGTTTTATCTTCTTTAAAGCTAGTATCATTTTTTTTTTTTCTTTAAGGCTTTGGTCTTAGCTTGCCATGTAGTCTTCATTTAGTCTTTTCAACATCAGATTCTTTGTTGCTAAGAAATATGTTGTTTTTCCAGAGGCAATCAACATCTTAGTTATTGCCTAAGCAAGTATGTTCTTAGGGCCACTGACAAAAAAAAAAAAGTAGTATTTGCATGACTATATCTAGATTTTTTTCTTATACACACCCTGTAAATGAAAGGTTTGAACATCGTTTGTAAAATAGCTTACATTTTCAGGTTACTTTGCCTGATTTTTACCTTGCTTTGACTTACCATAGAAAAGAGAGAATACATGCAAACTCTTTTGTTGTTTTTAAGGTTTTTCTTAATGGACATTTTTAGATTTACAGCACCTTGATCCAGGAGCTATATTATTTTAGAATAAAAAAGTGCCCTGAAAATCTCAGCCAGATTGTAGAGTACAAATGTGTTAATAAATCCAGTATAGATTTAATCAGAGTGGCTTTCATTAAGTGTCTGCTAAGAAGGATGAATTATCTTTAGCTTTCTGTTCTTTTATTGAGGGCAGCCTGAAACTCTTTCAGTTCACAGCATGGATCCTTTGGGGTACATTCTAATTGCCAGTACATCCTAGGGTTTTGTTTGTTGACTCAGGCTATTTTGCCAAAAACCGAAATGAATGCTGTAGACTTGCTTCCAACTTTTTAGCCATTTAATAACAAAATAAAAGCCATATATATTGGCAAAATATAAACCATGAGATTCCAGAAAAAATAATAAAAGGAAATAGAAAAAAATAATAAAAAAATAATACCGAGTGGGGTCATAGAGAGGAATGGCTAACAGGGACGATTCTGGAAGCGGGGGATTTGTTTTCTCTCTTCTCACGTTGTCTCCTGGTCTCCTCTAGTTCCTTAAAGGTTTCTGTAAAATCTCATTGTGTTCTTAGGTGTGTCCTTCAGTCATTTTGAAGGACAGTCGAGCTGAGTTCAATCAGCAGAGAAATAACAATGAAAAAGAAAGAAAACATTTAGATATTTAGAAAGAAATGGTCGGTACACACTAAAAAAACACAAACACTATTTAGGAGAGCAGTGGGGCTCTCTTGCCTTGCCCGGTTATCTGGCCTGACTTGTGCTTCTCCGTGTGCCCTTTGACTCAGGCTCCAAGGACCAGCAGATGTGGGTTCGCCTGGGCTTCGGTAGATGCCGTGAATATTCACAAATCTCACAGACTCTCTTTTTCGTAGAATTGGAATGAGGCAGCCACACTGTCATATAGCCCTCAGAATTTGTCTCTAGACACTGCCCTCAGTGACCTTTTTCTAGAGATAATACATTTGTCCTTGCCCAACCTGAGGGCTGGCAGCACGACCAGGCTCCTCCCAGATGGCTGGGTCTCAGGTGAGCACCCCGAGCAGGTGGGGCGGGAACTCCAAGGGAAGTGTTTGTACACTTGCCAGGTGAGACTGAACTCCCACTCCTGGACTTCCGTCTTGACGCCTGCAGTCCATCTGAGTTTCCTACTAGAGCTCAAAAGCTAACGACTTTGCTCTCACCCTTGACGCACCCACCTGGTGCGGCGGGTCTGTGGCTGTGCAGATGCAGTTTTCTGGGAGGTTGAAGATGTCCAGCTTCCTGGAATTTTCCCAGCCGTGTTTTCACATTTCCACGTCACTGTCCATCAAAAGTCAAATCGTCATTTATTCGTTAGGCACCGGCTTTGTTGTGAGTGCACCTTTTGAGGGTGGGGCCGTTGGGCACAGGCTGGGGGTGGGGACAGGTTTGCCTCAGCCTTTGCAGGTGACGTCCGTGCACCTGGGCTCTTTCTCTCAGGCTGAGGTTAGGTGAACGTCAAGTTCCAGTGGGGCGCTAACTGTGTCACGGACGTTTTATCCAGATTCTGAACGCCTTATGACCCTTTCATATGTTGGCTGCTTCACTAATCTTTGGCTGTTTTATTGGAAATTTGGAAAGGGGAGAGGCTAGGAGATCCGACGCAGATGCGCTACTTTTCTATTTTTCTACTCTTATCGCCATGAGAGATTCAGTGAGGGCAGATGCTGTGATAGTTTTTTTTTGAATGAGGGTTTATCTTATTTGTGGATTCCATTTCTCCTCGAGTCTTTTTATTGTGGCAAAATATACGTAACATAAAATGTATCACTGAGCCATTTTAAGTGTACAGTAGCATCAGCACGTTCACGAGGTCGTGCAGACATCATGCCAGCCATCTCCAGAACTGCGTCATCTTCCCACGCTGAAGCTCTTCACCCACTCGACAAATTCTTGAATCTGTGTCTCCTCTCTCTTCCTCTTCTGTCCCCTCCCTCCTTCCCTCTGGTTCCCAGGCCTATCGAAATGAAGGTGTCAATGCAGTGGAGATATGACATGCCCAAGCTGACAAGACTGGACTGCTCTCCCAACTCTTTCCATGAGCATTTTGTTGAAAAAGAACTGTCTGGTGACTCTGGCTCTTCTGTTTCTTTGTCACTGACAGTGAGAACAATCTCCAGGAAGATCTCTTCGATCAGATCCTGGCGGGGAAGCTCGAGTTTCCAGCGCCCTACTGGGATAATATCACGGACTCGGCAAAGGTACCGTCTAGGGCTGCCTGGTGTCCAGTGGCCCTTGCCTCATGTGGGGCCATAGCCACTCTTGGTATTGAGCTCCAAGTCTGTCTTGACTTTGAGTGTGTGGTTTTTCTTTAAGTTCATTCCATGGCGTAGTCTCTGAAACTCTTAACTAAATTCCGAAAGCCGGACTGGCTGCCTTCCCAGTTTGCCCCTACATCCTCCTTTGCTCCTCTAAGCTCTAAACATTTGTTCTGTCATTTATTCAAGAATTATGTCTTGGACAGACACTGGAACATAGGAATGGACTTGTGACATATCCTGAATTGCCAAAAGGAATAATACTGCGGTGTTACACTGCGGAAGGATGAAAATGACCAGAGCTCTTAGGAGGGAACATCTAGTTTATTACAGACTCAGGAGACACTATTTTCTCTCCCACCGGGTGTGATTGCCTCGTAGGCACTGGGAGTGTCGCTGATAATAGCTTTTCCGTTCAGATGGCTGAGCTGTGTTGGCTGTTCTTTGAAGCACTTGGTGCAAACTCAGATTTCTGTGTTTATGCTGGAATTACCCCCTTTCATCTCCTTTATGACAATAAGCCTTCGTTTCTTTCCAGGAATTAATCAGTCAAATGCTTCAGGTAAACGTGGAAGCACGGTGTACTGCGGGACAAATCCTGAGTCACCCCTGGGTGTCAGTAAGTACCCACATCCCCCGGGGAATGCACACCTGTGTGCTCTGTGGCCAACAGCGTGCTTCCTTGCTGTGGCCTTTTGCACATGCAGAGTTCTGCACCCAAGTTCCACGGCAGGTAGAATGTCTCCTCTACGGAGTAAGTGGCGTGAAGCTGGTGCTCTAGGAGAAGGCAGCTGGCACCAGGATCCCATAGTATTCAGTTCTGCTCTGTGAGTGACCTGGGCATGACTGTCCCTCTCTGGGCCTCAGTTCCTCCACTGCAAAGTGAAAGGGGTGGCTGGGATGTTCTCTAAGGAGCCTTTCAGCTTCTGCCTTCTGTAGTTCTGGGGTTTGAGGGTTTTCAGGATCTGCCCAGATAGGAGCACATTTCAGACCCTGATCTCTGTCTTCGTGGCACGTGGCCACAGGAGACCTCCTGCTGTGGGCGAGGAGTCTGACACAGTCCCTTCCAGAGCTGGACAGAGGACATGTCCTGTTGACTACGGTTCCTTTGTGCTTGGTGATGCCTCTGGGTTTAGGATAAACACAGCCCTATAGATGGTGGCAGTAGGAACGTTTGCAAGTCCCTCCTTCCCAGAGGCTCCAGGAAGGTGAGGCTTAGAGACTGCGCCCAGGGCTGTCGCCCACAGCTCCCTGTGTACCTCTGCCACCACCGCTATCCCAGATGACCAGTGTCTGGGCTCAGCCTCTCTGGACCCTGCAAAATGACCTGGCTCTTGGGCCAACTAACTTAGATTCTACATTTTTTTATGAACAATAAAGACTAACAGCTAGCTCGGTTCTTGATTAAAATGATAAACTGTCCATTAATGTTGGGGTTTCCGGGAGAAGGATCTGTACCATTTTTTTATGAACAATAAAGACTAACAGCTAGCTAAACTGATAAATGATAAACTGTCCATTAATGTGGGGTTTCCGGGAGAAGGATCTGTATTGTATTATGTGGTGTTTATGTTGGTGGGGGCGGGGGCGGGTCTCAGAACCCCGAGGAACGTCTTCTTTGTGCCCCTGGATACCTGTGCTCACCTTCGGCCTACTCTGGGCCACGGGAGTGGGGTGAATGACATGGGGTCTTTCGGAGAGCCTGGGGCTGCGGGATGACAGGAATCGTTTTTAGAGGGTCATTGTTGCCCTCACCTCCGGAAATGGGCCCGTTTGGGAAGAGGAGGCGGTGGCGGTGATGGTGGCGCCTGCTAAGGAATAGAGTTAGCCGTGAGAGCCAAAACCGCTGTCCTTGATTCTTTTCTGTAGGATGATGCCTCCCAGGAGAATAATATGCAGGCCGAAGTAACAGGTAAACTAAAACAGCACTTTAATAATGCGCTCCCCAAACAGAACAGCACCACCACCGGGGTCTCCGTCATCATGGTAAGTGGAGCGCACGGCTCTGCCTTGGGCAAGCTGCAGTGTCCGGCCTGAGCGCTCAGCCGGCATTGACCCTTCTAAAGTAAATAGCCGAGAGCGTCCCTCACATGGAAGCTGGTGCCCCGCCCCCCATGCTCCTCTTTTTGCTTCGAGATTGGCTTGGCTCGGGAAGTGCCCCATCGGGCCGTCCCAGGCCGAGTCCTGGGGCAGGGGATCGTGCAGGCGCCAGCGAGGCCAGGCCGGCGCTGAGGAGCCGCTGGCCCCTTCTGGGCTTGGTGGCCTCCAGGGCAGCTGCCGCTGCTGTCCTCTGCTTCCTCATCTGGAGAGGGATTCCCAAGCCTGGCTGGGATTTACAGCATAAGGGAGTAAACCCTGACTACTCGAGGCTGCAAAAATAGGTTATTTGAAGTGTGAATTATTCTTTCTTTGGGACTTGGGATAAGAAACAACTAAAGTTGAACAAATGCCATTTAAAAAAAAATGTTTTGTGGCTTTTAAAAGTACAAAACAATGTAAAAAAAAAAAATAGTTTTTTTCAGGGTGGGTAAAAGGTTATGAGAAATCAGTAACAATGATCCCCATATTCTTTCAGACTTTGCTTCTTCCAGTGTTTGTAAGGCAGCTTATCTAGATCCACAAACTCACCAAATTAAAAGTGACATTAAAGTAAGTGAAGTAACATTAAAGTGAGCTCAGCAAAAGGGAAAAGACAGATAGGACAAGTAAACTTGACCCAGAAGCACGATCAGCACACCTGACCCAGCCGTCCAGACTCTAGTCCTTGCAAAGCAGCTCCGTACCTCTCCGCAGCTGCTACGGGGCCTGGGCACACAGCGGCCGTCGGCTCGGGCTGGGCCCTCTGCTCTGCCCACACCACTCATAGGATTGGCACCTCAGAGCCAGAGTCAGCTGGGGTATCTTCGGAATCAGACTTTGGAAGGAGATGGGCGGCTGAGTTGTTAGCATCTGGGCCACCCCTGACAGCATGAGGCCTTAGCAGCACCAAAGCCACCTGGGGCCCGACAGCTCGTGATGGGCTCTCTCCACAGCTCCATCATTCTTACCTAGGACAGACCTCTCACCTTCTGGAAAAGGCTTGACTTGTTTCCTATCCAACTAGAAGGAAAGCAGGCACTTATTCTCATGGCACTTTATAGTCTAGGAACCTAAGGAGATCCAGATAGACGCTGGAGGGAAAGCACCCCCATCCCCCCCTGTGACTAAGGAATACGGTGTGTGGTACGTTTGTGGAGTGGGCACCGCCTTCTTAGCCTCTGCTGTTCGGTCTGTCTCCTCCCTCCCCCAGACGAGGCCTGAGCCCTCTGAATGTCCTTGCAGCTCCCTCACCCCTCCCCTGCTGGGAAGTGTGCCCTCAACCCGCTCTTCTCTCCCCCTGACAAAGCTTGCACACGGGGTCTTCTGACATGTTGCAGGACTTTGGGGGTGCTCTGTGCCAAAATAATAGGAAGGCCTCTTGAGTTGTGGTTTTCCTGGCATTTCAGCAGTGTTCTGCAGAAAGCCCGAGAATGAGTTGTCAGAACTATAGCTTAGACACTTTGAAAATAACCAGCTTGATGGAGCCAACAGCATGAGAATATTTTCAGGTGATTCACTTGTGAGACAAGCACTGATGAGACTGGTCAGCCTGGCCACAAGCTACATTGTTAGGCACCTTCTGGGGAAACTTAGAGAAATAAAAACATTATAGATTGGCACACTTGACATATAGTGAAAAACCTTAAGAGTGACTTGTTAGAATCAAAATTTAATAATTGCGTTATTTAACTTTCATAGTCTCCCAGAGGAAGAACTTTTACCTGTGCTCAGGGCTTATGAGAGTTTCACACTTGTCTCCCGGGTCACCTGTTGACTCAGGGCCCAGATAGGAATTGCTGGCCTAAGGCCTGCGGCCTGCCGAGGTTCTGGAATGACCTGGCCCTCTGTCCTCTGGCCCAGTATAGGCTCTGTTCTGAATAATGACATTTATACCCCTCAGACAGAACCTATATCTCATGGTTGACAAATGGACTGTTTGCACTTGCCGATGGGAGTTCCACAGTCACATTTCAAATTCGGCTTTAAGTGGACGTTTCTATGAATGAACAGCCCATTATTGTTCGTAATTCAATGGTGATTGTAAATGTTGTGTGTTTACATGTATGTTCAGTTGTCACTGAGCCTGTGGGCAGGGCTCCATGTAACCCCATGTTCCCTACTCAACTCTGCAGGTCATTAGCTCTGAGGAACCGCTGAGTGACATTATCATGTTCAGTACCTTCAGGAGAAATCAGTAAAGCTGGTCTCTGGAGGTACCAATTCTCGATAGCCAAAAAGCCGGCCTGTGAATTTTGGCTTTTCCCCAAAAGCAGGGGCGAAAAGGCCTCTGTGGGGACTCGGTGCTAATCCTCACCCAGCTGAGGATCTGAGCTGGGGCATGGTTGTGTGGGGGCAGCTTGCAATGCTTCCATGTTGTTATCCTCACCTCTCCATCATTGTGTGTGTGTGTTCCGCCCTTGGGAATAGTTTTAAATGTTTTTTATATTAAAAATAATCACAAATGGCTCTCCCTGGTACTATATGCTCTCATAACTGGAGTATGTACGTGAGGCTAATATGGTTTCCTACAGATGCAAATAGTAGTGGAAATAGTGCATCAAGGTTTGCGGTGGGATCCTCAGGTAGCTGTTGCGTAACCGACTATCGGCTCTCACCCCAGTGCTTTCTGCCTTAGCCTCCCAAAGATGGTGCTTGAGGTGAGAAAATCAGAGGATAAGAATGGTAAATAACAGTGGAAGAAAGCAAAGTTGACGCCGTTGTCTGCGTTTTATTTGACAGTTTGATTTGAGAGTTTGAGAGACACTTCCGAGTTTCACTCTTGACCCAGTTCAGACTGTGGGGAACCCCGAAGCAGAATTCTGGTATTCGACACACTTCGCTTCATCAGAGCAACTTCTAATTCTCGGCCCCCCTCAGATCTGCATGCTTGTCTCAGACTTCAGACACCAGCGTCCAGCTCTTAGCTTCCTATCGGTGTGCGTCTCCTGTCCCTACTGACATCCTTTTTGGCCAGCCATGCACACCCTGGGAAAACTTTATTTTAAAACTTCTCCGCTTGCCACATTGCCTTCCTTCGCAGATCAAAAGCTGGCAAGTGCACAGGGGTAGGGCTGCAGTAGTTCTCCTGATAAATGCTGGTTTTCACTTGGATGGAAAGGCATCTTTTAGTGAGTGACCGCATCAGATGGGTACCTTTGTTAAGGCTTTTGTTCTCTTTTTCCGACTACATTTCCAAAGATGCATTTTTCTCAGTAAGACAGTGTAGAGGCAGCTTGCCTTTGGGATAAGAGAAGAGAATTATATTAGATAAGATTTTTATTTAGAACAGGCCTGTGGTGTTGGATTGCACTGCATTTTCTCTGACTTGTCCATAGCATGCTGAAGAAAGGACAGTGCATTTGCAGAGAGAGCTTATCTTTCCCAGTGGGCTCATCCCAGCCACAGGGACTAGAAAACGCCCTCTTGTGGCAGAAAAGGGAATTATCAGGAACCTGCTTCTCGCCCTGCATCTTGACTTCAGAAGCGATGAATTCAAATGGTGTGCTTTCCCTGCTCAGCGGGGGATTACGCTTCTTTCAGGGGGAAATTTGGGAATGATCTGGGCTTAATTTAAGAGAGAGGAAACTGTTTAAATCGTGTTGCTTCTGTTTAAAGTAAGTCTAGTTTCTGTCCCTGCTTCTCTCCCCGCTTCTCCTGCCTCTCCCGCCGCCTGCATTGCTTGCCTCTGACTAGGTCCAAGGCCACGGTACGTACTAATTGCACCGCGCTGCTTTGTTCGGCTGCACACATGCGTGTCCTCTTGACAGGAAGAGGAAAGGAGAAATAACTGGAGAAGCGTTGGTTTCCTTCACCCAGGATAAGTTTTGTGGCAGATAAAGAGTGGCTAGGCTGCCTCTCATACTACGGGCTTGGAAGCTTGATAAGAGCGATGCTCAGTTTCTTCTTTGGCTTTCTTCAGTTACCTCTTCTGCAGGTAATTGAAATTGCCCTTGGAAATTGCCAGATGTTCAGCTTGAGCTCAGAAGGAAGGGCCTCTGGAAAACATCTATTTGAGAGTTGACACCAAGTGCCCTGCAGGCAGCCACACTAGTCTATCTTAGAAAGCCCTGTTGTTTATTCATATCCGCCCCCCCCCTCTCATCCTCGCAGGGAAGTCAAATTATAAAAGGCCTTCGGATGGTGTACCTTTTAGCTAAAGGTGCCTGAGAGCTGAAAGCTCCCCCACGTTTGCAAAGCCCGGTGAGATGGCAGCTGTCTGGGTCTCACTGGACAAGCAAGAAATATTCAAACTGAATCAGAGGAGGAGAAAAGTAGACTAGTCCCATCTCCCAGTCTAGGGTCAGAAAGGAAGGCAGTTTCCTCATGTTCGTGGCTATTTCTGTGCTCCCTGAGGAGTTGAGTGGATTAAAAACTTTGGGGCTGTGATGAGGTCAAGAAGAGCAGGTGAGGGGATCGTGGAAGGCCATTGGATCCCCAGGCCCTCCTGCGTTACAGTAATGCAGCCATGTGGGTCGTAAGGGGATTTCTTATTTTTATGACACGTGAGAATCTTTTCCATCTGTAACGGAGAACTTCCTTTGGAAAAGTTGACTATTGAAGCCCCAGCATTCTCATAGGGTTTGCTTACTGTCCCAGGATTCTTTGGGCTCAAGTCTGGGTATGCAAAGACACATTCAGAACTGAGGCGCAGCTCAGAGCTAGAAACGGTTCGCCCCAGGCTGCCGCTCAGGGCCCAGGTTTAGCTGTAGGAGCAGAGGCCACGTACCACCTGTGGCCTGGGGCGGGTGCCCTAAGCCTGCGTTGCTCTTAGGCTTCTGTCAGAAGGGAGGCTTGAGGTTATTTCTCCTCTTCTGTTTCTGAGTCCCGTGCATGCTCTGTGGTGCGCTCTGTCGTGGTGGCTTCGCCCCGGCCCTGGCCAGGCTAACATGTTGTCTCTGCTGCTTTCTCTTCAGAACACGGCTCTAGATAAGGAGGGGCAGATCTTCTGCAGCAAACACTGTCAGGACAGCGGCCGGCCCGGGATGGAGCCCGCATCTCCAGTTCCTCCCTCCGCTGAGGAGAGCCCTGTGTCTGGGGTGGCAGCCTTGGCCCCTGCCCCTCTGGAACCTCCCACACCCCCCTCCCCTCCTGCTGCCACGGGCTGTGAGCGGGCAGGGACCTGGCGCCGCCACCGTGACTGACCGTGGCAGACAGGCCTAAGCCGTGCCGCCCTCCGACGCCGAGCCTCCCTTTGCTGATTGCTGGCTGCCAGGAGCCCAGGGCCCTGGGCTTGGTCTTGGTTCACAGTCTGGGCTCTGCTTTCCAGTGCCTGGAGGTGTCATATACCGCGTCAGCTTGGGTGGCAGATATTCAGAGTGGCTTGTTTTAAATTATCTGAGTTTCAGTTCATTGGACATTTCACAGCGTCACCAGGAGAATGTGAACTTTTTTCCAGCATCTAATGCATTTTTATAGGAACACTTGGGATGAGCCACGATCTCTCCCTCATTTCAGTAAACTCGAAGTGCTCCTTTTTTCTTACTGAGAACTTAGAACTGCGTTTGTCCCTTGGTGGGTGTCCTGTGAGAGGTGACATGGCACCTTCCTCCTCTGCTGACAGGGACTGGGGGACTGGCTTTCTGGTGGAAGAAACAAGCATGTATGTAAGAGGACAATCTGGTCATCGGACACTCAGCCCAGACCGCCAGACGTGCGTCCAGGTGCCTGGGGAGCAGCCAAGGAGGAGTGCTGGGCTCCCTTAAGAAAACACTGGATATTTATTTCTACACAGAGGATAGGGGAAGGTCACTTTCTTCCCTAGACATTGTGTGTATCCCCCCCAACTCTTCCCACATACGATTTAAAACTGCTCACGAAGTTGCCCTTTGGGGTTTTTAATGAAAGGCCTGCCGCCTGCGGCCTCCCTGGCGAAGGCGGTTTCTTCTCAGCAAGCTGGCTGCTCGCAGAGCAGGGTACACGCGGCGTCCTGAGGAGCCACCAGTCCGTCTCCTTTCGTCGTCTGCTTTTTATCCGGAGCCGGTGGAAACAGCCAGGAAACACGGGAGCACGGGCAGGCCGGGGGCGGGAGGTGCTCTGCAGACGCCCTCTGTCACCCACCTTCTGGAAGGCTGCGGGCAGTTTTCCCTTGTTTTCCAACCCCCTGCTCTTTTTAATAATTGTACATAATCCGTGTATTTGTTTTACCTGCTCATCTTCTAAAGCGGTGGGCCCTGTAGTTCATTCTGATTGTTAGATTTTTGCCTCCTACAAGTGTACCCAACCTGCAATAAACTTTTCCTTATTGGAAAAAAAAAAAAAAAAAGTAATCGGGGTGGGCAGAGGTTTCTGTGTTGTTGTTTTGGAAAGATGTGTGATCAAAGGCCCAGGGTCTGGCTGGTGCCATTGTCTGTTTTTCGTGACGTCTCGGGCCCATGAGTGATGCTTGGGAAGAACAGGTGGAGATGCGCTTTGGTGAAAGTTTATGTGATCATAGGTCTAGTAGCTCATGCAGCAAAAGCTCAAGAATAAACAGATCGTTGGTAGACAGCAGAGAAATCATGGAACCAATGGCAGGAAGGTGAGGCTTTATAGGAAATGGGGAGTCCAGGCATCTGTTCCAGCCCGTCTCTCTCTCTGTCACTCTGTCTGTCTCTCTTTCTCTCTCGCCATCTCTGCCTCTCTCTGAAATTGTGTGGTCTCCTGTCTCTGCTTTCAGTGCATTTCGGCTCCTGTTTTTTGTTCCCTCATAATGTCTGCTTGCCTGGAGCTCTGACCACAGGTACTGCATCTGTCCCCAACTTCTCAAGGCGAGACAACTGCAGGGCTTGAAACCATATGCTTTGGCCCTAGATCTCTCAGTTCAAATAGATGTCCGAATGAGGTGTTAGGCGATGATTTCTCTCCATACTGACACTGACTCATGATCCAGAGTCTGGTTACAAAATGTAGCTGGGCGTCCTGGACCCACAGCCGCAGCAGGTGCCGGCTTCAAGAGGAGGGCAGATTCAAAAGAGCCACGATGGACAGATCTGGACAATTCTGCTCATCTCGCTCCTCATCAACTGTTTAGAGCCAAAACTTTCATAGCTCCTCATGGAAATGTACTTGTTAATGGAAGACGTAAAGGAAGGAGCATAGAAATGAAAACAGTGGTAGAGCAAGGCCTCTGGTGCTGATCAGAGCCTGAAACCCGACACCCCGCCCTTGAACTGGAAGTTCAAAGATATTTGCTAAAGACTTAAGAAAATACATGGCCAGGGCAGTGCCAGTCACTGGTGACAGGATGAAGGAGCACCTTCTGTCCGGCACATGCTCCCATCCTCTACGCCATACTTGGGGTGGCTTGGGACATGGTGAGGGGTGGGGGATGGCCTAGAGAAAGGAAGCAGTAAGAACTAGGTGTGGCAGCAGCTTAGCAGTGGCCTGGCACTTTACCCCACAAACACCTAGAGCAGTATGTGGTGTGACTTGAGCCATCCAAGAAGTTCGGTGACATAACCCAGGTCACAGAATTGGTAGGAGACAGAGCCACGATGTGTTTTTAGGTTCTACCAATGCCAAAGCTCTTCTGTTCGGAGGTCCCTGTCATTTAGGGGCAAACCAAGGCCTAGATGTGAGTGGTCATCTGGATAATGATCCTAAATAAAAGTTCTGATACCACAAACACGTTGTGTATTCACTTGTGCATTTAGCAAACAATTGTTGAGCTCCTGTTCTCAGAATGCAAATTTAATACAGGTACTTAATTGCTGGGTTCCTCTACTCCTGCACAGTGAGAATGGCATGTGCTTATTTTATGTTCATTCCTTTACTTGAGCAGGTGATCAACATCTAAGGAAACCTTTGAATAAGGGTAGAAAAAGGGAAGTGGTGCCCTGCAGAAGCCATGTGAGATGCCTGCTAGGCTCAGCAGTTGGGCCAAGAGTCAGTGAGTGCCTGTCTCCCTCTCATCATAAAGATTGCTCTGATATGGAAATATATGAAATACATGGATTGAAAGCATTTGGCAAAACATTTCCCAGAATTGTTTAATGGATAAGATTGTAAAATGTGAATCGGGATAATGAGCGTTCAGAACAGATTAACCACACTGAAAGGAAGACGGCTGATTAATGATTCTCGGAGAAAGCTTTCAGCAGCAAGTTTGCCGTCCCACAGAAACATAATGCAAGCCACGTAATTTAACATTTTCTGGTACCACATTTTAAAAAAAAGGTAAAGAGGAATGGATGAAATTAACAGTATGTTTTATTTAACCCAATATGTTTAAATACATCCAAAGTATTATTTCATCTTATGATCAGTATAGGAAATCGTTGGGATAGTTTACATTTTTTGTACTAATTCTTTGAAATCAGGTATGTATTGACATGGCACATCTCAGCGCGGATTAGGCATGTTGAAAGGCTTAATGGCCATGTGGCCTGCCGCACTGGACAGGGCAGCTCTACAGAAGCCACAGCTCTGTCTTTGTTCTGTTGTTTTATTTTTGGCACGTGATGTGAATGGCTATGTAGAAAGAATGCTTCTCTGTTGTTTTAAATGGGATGAACTGATTTAAAATGATCTCAGCACCATGCTACCCTGAACAAGCCTGACCTGTCTGATCTCAGAAGCTAAGCAGGGTCGGGCCTGGTTAGTACTTGGATGGGAGACCACCTAGGAAGACCAGGTGCTGTAGGCATCAAAAACAAAAAAAATAAAATGATCTCAGCAGGTGAAAACACTAGTCCAAACCTGTGGTGTGGAATCTAAGTGTAAAGTCCTGTGATTCTGTTACAGAACCGTCCGAGGCCTTGGTGGGCACTGCTTCACGTGAGAGATGTCGGAGTGGAGAACTTCACTGATCACTGTTTCATTAGATGCCAAGAGAGCTGCTTACATGTTAGCATGACCTTCAAGTGCATCGTGAGAAGTATGTGCATGGTACAGCTGAGCCCTCCCAGGCATGGAGCTGTTCCGGGACCCTCAAGAATTGCGGTGCAGGTACAGCAGTTGTCACCCAGAGGCAGCTGTCCTTATAACTGGGCCACCCGTCTAGGTAGTCAGACATGCTTTGGAGGGGACGTCTGTGTCATAAGGCGGCAGTCAGCAGGTGAAGGGGAGACTCCTGGCAAAGTGGTAGAAGACTGAGACTAAGGTTATCAGAGCAGGGGTGTGTGCGTTTTGTGAGAGGAAGAAAGTCATTGCTTTGGAGGGAGGCTGATGCCTATACAACTTTGGTTAGTCTTAGCCAGTGGATTTTCAGTGGCTATCAGATGATAAAACCCACAGCCTTGAACCCAGAGGCAGGTAGCTGTGGGGAGGAGTTGCCACCATTGAATAGCTGAGGGGGACAATGGGTATATTCGGTACAGTGACCATCATTTGCTCCTGTCATTGCCCCTTCCCAAACACACGCCCTTTCCTTCAGGGTGGAGCTGGGTGCCTCGGGCCCCCAGTGTGGTTGGGGTGCCTTCAACCCAGAAGGGTGAACTGGGAGGGCTGGGCACCTGTCTGTGCTGAGGCTGAAGTTGGGTCTGGAAAATGTCAAATTATCCAAGTCCAAAGCTGCAAAGCAGCCAGTTGCTTCCTGCCAGGTCTGAGGAAGTAGCAAGCCTGCCCAGCTCCCCCCAGATCTCGGTTTTGGCAAGAAAAAATATTCCTGAACCTCGGGCAGAAAAATAATTCATGTTTCTGGCATATGACGGCGGAGGCCTCAGAATTCACAGGAATATTTGTAGATTGCCTTCTTTCCCTGCCGGAGCGCCTGGCCGTCGCAGGAAGACAGCTTGCCTAGAGGCTAGACCACCTCGGTGTCATCAGAAAAATGTGATGCCCCTTGGTGAGAGCAATCTGCTTTTCTGGCTCACAACAATGAGGACTGGCAGTGATGTGTCAGTGTCATTAATAGTAGCCTTGGATTTTTAAAATAGTGATCTTATGACGGGGGAATCTAAGAAATGCATCATGGACTCCACTTTTCAAATCTAAAAAAAAAAGTCCGAAAGGTGTTTCTCCCACTTGTCTGAGAGGACACAGAATTATTATTTATTTTGTTACTTTATTGATTTTCCACTTATGGTCTCTTCTTCCCTTTTTCCAGTTAGGATGTTTAGCAACTTCCCAGCTTCCTTGCTTCCCCCTGCAATGAAAACTGGAGATTCCTGCATGACAGACACCATTACACTTTATGTGACAAAAAAGGGAAGTAGCTAAGCAAGTTGCTCTCCTGGTTGAAGTAGAAAACTCTCTCCTTAGGGTGGGGAGGGGGCAGGGATAGCCAAGAGGAGGTGTTGGTGTGGTTGCTGATATGCATGGCTTATGCAGATTTTGAGATTTAAGTCCCGCCCCCTTTTCAGTTTGTGATTTCACATGATGTCACTTGATGACAGGAGGCTACTCCATGATCTAGAACAGACACCTGGAACTGGCAGAGCTTCTCCACCATGCTATGTTGAGATCCCTCCAGATGTTTAAAGACACTTCTGCTGCTTGGTGTGGAGGGATATCTCGTAGGTCCGCTGTGTTCTTCAGCAGTGATGGACAGAACTGATGCAGAAGGACCAAACTGGGCCCACGATTTGCATGGCCAGGAGCTCTTGACATCATACTGAAGGAACCTAGTGAAAGTCTCTCCCCTCAGACTCCTATCTTGATGCATCTAATTGTTGTCTGCTGTTTTCACTCAATTCTAGTTGCTGAAAAGGGTACAAAGTGGACGTGCAGTCTGGCTGCAGCCAGGGTTCCCTGGCCATCTCCTGTGAACCTGACCCACACGACCTCTGCATCCCACTGCCCCTCTCACATCGAGGTGGGAGGACATATGGCACCAGGTATGTGTGAGCAGCCCCCTGGCCTTTTGGCTCAACTCTGCTCTTAGAGCTGGATGGAAAAGGGCCGGATTGTAAGGTTCTCACCTCATGTCCCACAGCTTCTCATGTTGCCGTGCAGGATATTTTGAATCTTCTTGTCTGGTATGCTGAGAAGTAGAACTGAAGTGTGATGTTTTTTTCAGGAGGCAAAACTGTTTGTTTTTATCGATTAATCTGTGGAAGCATTTACTTACGGAGGTTGGCTGTGCTTGGGGACTAAGATGCTCATCTGCGTGACTTGTCCACCAGTTTGTATCGGTGTGCTCGTCAGGTTTTCACCGTCTCTACTCTCTAAGCCCTCATCCTTTGCTCCAGAGATCTTAGTGGTATTTCTGAAATTACAGAGCCTCAAGGACTAGACTGGTGATAGTTCAGAAAGAATCTGTACTATCTGGGAAGAAAATCTTAATTTTTTGAGGCGACGCATCTGAAAACCAGCCATAAATCACTGTATGTAACTGAGCTATGTCCACTTTCCTGAAAGTGAATAATGTAGTTCATTCACTTTCATCCCAAACCATGTTAACTTTTTTCCCTAATTGGTTTACATTTAAAGTAATGCTTTTTTTTTTTTTTGAGTTAAAACTGGATAAATGTTTGAATGTTAGATAAATCCTAACAAATATTGTACTAAATAGATTCTACCATTCAGAAGCCGTTGTGTTGATGCCAGCTACATTTGTTAACTGAAAATTCAGTTAATTTTCTATAGTTCTAAATTTTAAACACGATAAAAGTGGTAGAGGCACTGATTTTCTTCTCAGGCTTCAAGAGGAAGCTGCTTTATTAACTTTGCTTCAGGCGTTTTGAAGCAATATGGCTGAAGTGTCATGTGCCCAGTCTGTGACAGGCATTCCTAACTGTCTTCCACCATTTCCCTACGATTTCCAAAGCACGAGATTTCCAGTGAGCACGTTTAGCTAATGTTACCAGTCACAGGGACGTTTCCTGGATTCTAAGATATACTTGCCCTCTCTCACGTTTTACTATCTGTTATTTTCTTTAATGGTTTATAAAGCAGTCGTGGATGGTAAATGACATAGTACATAAAGTTCCTTGTTTGGTCATTTGTTAGATACAGGTTTAGTGTTCTCATTTGTGTATGTCTCAGTGAGCGGGAGCTATCTGGACAGAGAAGGCCCGTGTTCTGGTTTTCATTCAAGAGAGTCTCTCATTGGTTGTTCAAAATCTATAATTTAACCAGTTTGACTTTTTAAAAAAAAATTTTTGCAAACAGTTGTTTTATCAGTGTTTTAAAATTAGGAGTGAAAAGATATTGCCAAAAGTTCAGCTGTAAATGTCATTTAATTTTTCTCTCAAACTGAGTTGTTCCACTCTAAATCTCTGCTTTTAGAGAAGAGCTGAATGTGTAGAAAAGTATAAGGGGACCCTTTTAGGTGAGGTGCACGAGAACAGAGATGGAACGTCAAAGCTCACAACTTACAAAGAATTTATTTATGCAATACAGACCTTTTCTCAAATATTTTTCACAGAATTCCATACAGCAATCTACTAGAAAAGTAGGATTATACAACACCAAAATGACATTGTTTCTTAGTACAAATTGCTAATCAAAAGGAAGGTGCAGATAGTTTGGTAACAAATAGAAGGTAAGAGGGGGTGTTGCTTAATACAGCACCTGGAGCCTGCCTTCCCCGACCCAGGGTGGGAGACGGGGAGCCCCCAAAGGCCCTGCCTCAGCTTGGGCCCAGTCACACCTCAGGGCTGAGCTTTGGTACTTGCAACTTTAAAACAGATGTTGTGAGCCCAAGAACATTTCCATCATTTCATTTTGGTGTGCGATGAGGATGACAAATCACGAAAACATTGTAAATATTTCACACTTGCTATAACATTACATCTTTTATGTTAACCACACAATAAAATAGCCCTCCCCAAACCATAATTTCCTAGGTCTAAAACATGCTCGAAGAAGAATATGGATAGAAATAATTCACTGAGATGTTTTAAATTACATTTACCATAATTTAAACATTACTATTTAAGTCCCAGAAATTTCAGCACTTAAGAAGCACAATTGTTTGGAAAAATACAGGACCCAAAGTACAGCATAAAATTCCCCTATCCCAGTATTATAACCCACTTCCCTACTAAAATCATATATTTGTCAAGATTACAGATAAATGGGAAGTGTTTTTTTTTTTTCATAATACAGCTAGAATAAGTGGGTTTACTCACTCCACTGTAAGTTTCCATAATTGGTGAAAATAGACTTCTTGATATGACTAAAAATATAGATTTTTTTTTTTAAACTACAGAACCCAGCAGCCAGTTTTCTGCTTTGCTATACCCACCCCCAAAGTCGAGCAAAGTCTACAAAAATAGCAATTAACTTTAAAAAATATTTTGCTTAAGAGCAAATTTAAGTTACATTCATATGTGGTAGCTATTTCTAAAAGATGCTCCAGGGTACCCCTCCTGCCCAGGCTGGGGGCAAGGCTGATGTGCAGCTGTCACTATCAGTAGCGGGTTTGGTATTCATGATGCCACCGGTTAAAGTCGTTGTAGAACAGAACGATGCTTCCTGAGGCCATGCCAGCAATGATGCACCTGGGAGAAGCACAGAGAGAGGGCTTACAAACCTATTTATTTCCTAGAGATCTGTTACTAAAAGAACTGCCCTCCCTAAATCCACAAGGTAAAGATGGAAGATGGCAGCACTACAATTTATGAGAAGTAAGGTATGCTTTTCGATGACTAAAATGCAGCCCCAAGTAAGCTTAGAGTGCCACTTCTGACACTCTACAAGGATCCAAGCCATAGCTTTCTCTCCCTCTTCCTCTCTTTCTTTCTTTCTATTGAAAATACAGCTGGTACACGTAGGATGAAGCACTAAAACCTGAGCAGGTTGATAACTTCTATGCAGGGGCGGGGCTGGAGAGCACTATCTTTTATGTTAGGTATCAGAATCAAAACAAAGGACCACCATCTCAAAGTAATTGCTGGTGGAGGATGCAGCCAATAGTCAAGTGGCAGATCTGTGACAGGCAGATAATCAGTGAAGAGTAAGAAAGCAGAGTGCTGACCGTAATCTGGGCGGAGCTCGCTTGGCAGAACAGTCTATGTCCATCATGCTCTAGGTAGAGCGAGGCCTCGTTTTCATAACAGCAATTTCTGAAGCGATCACTAAAGGCAGGAGCTGCTGCTGCTGCTTGTTCCCCTCCCTGAGACAGTGGTGCAGGGAGGAGACTGAGAGCAGGCAGACGAGCCTCCCTCAGAGCTGCCAGGCTCAGCCTATTATCTTAGATCTTTCTCTGTACGGTTTGGTTAAGACCAGTCCTTAGAAGTCATGTTCAGTATCTTTCCTACCTCTTATAAAATTAGGAACTGAAATGTGTCACGACACAAAATCAACTAAACACAAAAGGAGGCGGAAATGAGGGACACAAAAAAGCTCTAAGACCCAGAAAACACATACATAGTAAAATGGCAAAAGTCTTTCCTGATCAGCAATTACTTTAAATGTGAAGAGGTTAAACACTCTAAACAAAAGGTAGAAACTGGTAGAATGGCTAAAAAAACATGATCAAATATATGCTGACAAGAGACTCACTTTAGATCTAAGGACAAACAGGTTGAGAGCGAAGGGTGGGAAAAGATATTCCCTGCAAATAGCAACAAAAAGAGGTGGGTAGCTATGCTAATACAGACAACACAGGCTTTACGTCAAAATCTGTAGCGAGAGACAGACACTGTATGTCAACATAAAGGTCAATTCATCAAGAAAGTAATGAATTACATATTCACTGATCACAGTGGTGATGACTGCATATAACAACGTAAATTTACTTAATGCTACTGAATTATATACCAAAAAGTGGCTTAAATGGTAAATTTTGTTACCACACACAAAAAATTAGGAACTAAAATAAGTGTATATTAAGAGGAAATAAAACTCTAGATAAAGAGTATCACCCCAAAATTTACCACTTGGGAGGTTTTAGGAAATAAGCCAAATCTCTCAATGGAATCCTCATGGACAGAGATGTGGACTTTTTACATTAAACACTTTATGACACTTAAAATTTAAGAAAAAAGGTGCTGTAATAAACAGCAATGTGTAACTGGAGCTTTTGTGTCTTAAGTCTTGTCCAGTCCTGGAGACTTCACCTTTGTCCACAGTGGCAATGCCATCAGAAAGAAAATCCCACTTTTTAAAAGTATCTTGGAAACCCCAATATCGATTGGCTTTTTTCATTGCATAGGTGACCACCACAACTCAGCCCATTTAAATACATTCCCTCTGCGGTCTTTACTGCCACCGCTAGCAGACCATGATGCCAGTGTTACCTCTGGTCGTAAGACAGGGCCAGGGCCCGGACTCCAGCGTCACAGCCCGGATAGGCAAAGAGCTGCTTGAGGTCCGACACCTGCCGGAGCATGACCACACCGCTGTCTCCTCCTGTGAGCAGGTACTGCCCGTCCCGGCTCAGCTGGATGGCCTGTAAGACAAAGCAACATTCAGCAGAGGTGTGGCTCTAGGGGAACTTGGCCCCTGGCCCTCGTACATGATGGCACAGGGAGAAGGGAGGGGCAGTGCATATGTGCTCCTGAGGGGCTTTCAGGAAATCAGGAGTCGTGGAAGACTTTTGCCATTTCTCAAAATCAAATGGACAGTTAGGCCATGCTTGAGTTTTTTGTTTCTTTAAATATTTTTTTTCAATTATAGTTGACATACAATATTATTAGTTTCAGGTGTACAATAGTGATTTGATATTTATATAACTTATGAAACGATCACCTGGGTAAATCCAGTACCCACCTGATACCATACATATTTATTACAATACTGATTTTATTCCTCATGCTATACCCTACATCTCTATGACTATTTTGTAAATACCAATTTGTACCTCTTAATCCCCTCCCCTTCACCCATACCCCCACTCCTCCCAATCCAGCAACCATCCAAATGCTCTGTATGTACGAGGTGGTCTCTATTTTGCTTGTTTATCCTGTCCTCTAGCTTCTACATATACGATATTTGTCTAGATCTGTCTGACGTACTCCACTCAGCACAGTACCCTCTAGGTCCACTCATGTTGTTGCAGATGCCTAGATTCCATTCTTTTTCACGGCTAAGTAGTATTCCACTATATATGTGTACCACCTCTTCTCCATCCATTCATCCACTGATGGACACCCAGGCTGCCTCCATATCTATCTTGGCTATTGTAAATAATGCTGCAGTGAACATATGGGTGCACATGTCCCTTCGAAGTAATGGTTTGGGTTTCTTTGAACAAATACCCAGAAGTAGGATTACAGGGTCCTCCTTTGTCTCTTGTTATAAGCCTGTAAAGTCCATTTTGTTTGGTATAAGCACTGCTACTCCAGCTTTTTTGTTTCTGTTTTCATGAAATACCTTTTTTCCATCTCTTTATTTTAGTCTGTG